CACATTGTGGAAATGACGGTGAATAGCGCAATGGTCAAAGTGGCCGAATGGACGGACGAAGGCGGCTTTAATCCAGTGGCGGCGAAGTACACGAGGCTCAAGCCAGCGGCGCACATCGAACGGAACAGAACCTACATTGTGACCACCATTGTGGTGAGTTTCCGCCAACTTTTCCTGGTTCAGGCGCCCAATTTCCCGTTCGTTAACAGGAGGAGCCTTACATAATGATCAGGAAAGAGGAGCCGGGAGAGTTGCTGATGGGCAACGACCGTTTTGAGGGCTACTGCAAAGACCTGGCCGACCTGATCGCCAAACGCCTAAACATCAACTGTAAGTATGGAGCCAGCAATTTCGTATTCAACAAAAAGGCGCAACTTCACAAGTCATTAACGCAAACAGCATTAGAAAGCGGGTTTAATGTAGCTGAAAAACCGGCCTCCCCTTATGCATAGCCCAAAGGCCATTAAGTGTGTCAAGGCTGTTACAAGCCCTTGCACCACAACGGGGTGGCGTGCACAGCAGTGTAAATGCACGATAGGGGATTGATTTTTCATTGTCGCTATTTAAATTTTTAAGTGCGGCCTTTGCCGTCAAGGTCTACATGGATCGAATATTTACGTTTCGTTCACATTATGGAATTTTCAACCTGCATTCAGGAGGGTTTGATGGTGATCTGGAATTTGAGACACCGTGTAGCCATGAAGGTTGTTTGCGAAAAACCCAGCCTTTTTAGCACCGGTAATCCCATGCATAATTTGCGGCGGTATGACACACCTTTTATTGAAAATCCCTTTTTTGAAAAACTCTTTTCTACCATTTGAGATCCAATTTCAGAAATCATAGCAAGCATTGACCAGGGAATCTCCTCATTAAATATTGAGGCAAAGAACGAGATCAGAAATAAATTGTGTAACATCTTAACAAACTTCAAAGGTAAAATAAAACGAAACGCAAATAAAAGTATGGCATGTCATGTTAATGGACTGATAAATGAAACAAAAAATGTATATATGAAAACACAAACATTTGCATACTAACAGCAGATGAATGTAACAAAACTGTAATTATGTTAAAAAGTTAATACAAAACGAAAATGCTAGGCTTAATAAATGATATAAAAACATATAAACCGGAAAAAAAACTGGCAAGAGAAAAGAACCGGAAAAACTTTTTGACCAGATGCACGAACCTTGCCGTCCCACCAAAATTTATACCGGTGAGGAGAAGGGAATTTAATTTTGGGAACGGACAGAATCAAATAAAATATTTGTAAATCTTGGACGTATTCTATATGCAATGTTTAAATATAATACTGAGCGATTGTTGTTCCAACCTGAATGGAATTAACAAAGACATTAATAATGTTAAAATATCGTTACAACAAAAAA